TGTGTGTGTGTGTGTGTGTGTGTGCGTGCGCGCCCGCACGATGTGGCTCTTTGCAGCAACACAGTAAAAAAAATTGGCTCTTAGTCTCTGACTGGTTGGCCACCCCTGATCTATGGCCTATGAATCATAGAAGAAAAATAAAACTGGTTCAGATTGTGAAAAAGGGTCAGTCCCAAAATGTCTCAGCTAAAATTAAAATTGTAAATAGTGAGCACAGCCAGTTGCTTGTTTGTTTGTTTGTTTGTTTGTTTGTTTTTGGTTTGTTTGTTTTTTTTCAAATGAAAAAAGTACAGTGCATCTGGAAAGCATTAACAACATGTTTTCCACATTTTGTAATGTTGCAGCTGTAAAACGGAACAATTCTGAAATGGAATTTATTTTTACTCCACCCTATGCACAACCTGTAATGACAAGATGAACCATTTTTGGGGTAGATATTATTGCAACAGTATTCAAAGCAAATGACGAAGAAATGGCATGCATGACATCCTGTAAGTATGCACAGCCTTTGCTCAGTCCCTTGTTGATATTGATGCACCTTTAGCGACAATTACACACCCAATTCTATTTGAATATGATGCCACAAGCCTGGCACACCAATCTTTGGAGCATCAAGTTTTCTCCCAGATTTCATCTCTTTTCAGGGGTGTTCTATTTCAATTGCTCGATTCATTCACAAAATGGTCCCGAAGCCACTCTCTTTTTTTTTTTTTTTCATATCTTGGCTGTGTGCTCAAGATATCCCTGCAAATCGCTGTATTTATTTTTCTCTCAGCCCTGACTAATTTCCCAGTTCTCCCTGTTGAAAAACATTGCTGCAGCGTGACAACCACCATGCTTCACTGTAAGGATGGTTTTGGCCCGGAAATAAGCAGAGCCCGGTTTCCTCCAAACATTGATGTCCTACTATGTTCACGCCCAATAGTTCAGCTATGTTCTATCAGACCAAAGAGTTTTGTCTCTTATTGTTGTGAGCTTGCATCTCACTGAAGCAGCGGACGCTTGCAAGAATGGCTAATTTTGGGGTTTTGTCACATAAAAGCTTGCAAACCGCTGACAGACGCTTGTTTCACTCACGATGGATGGAAACATGCACGACATGTCTTCTGCGTGTTTGTTGGCGGGGGTGAAGAATAAATGTTGTATGTGTCTTTAAGTAGTCCCATAATTTAGATAGCACTCCTAACTGTCAACTTTGTTCTTCCTTGGCGGAAAAAAAAAGGAAGAGTCAAAGCACAATTGCAGTGGCGGCCTAGTGATCCAGTGGATAGCACATCGACCTCACAGCACAGAGGTACCGGGTTCGATTCCAGCTCCGGCCTCCCTGTGTGGAGTTTGCATGTTCTCCTGGGCCTGCGTGGGTTTTATCCGGGTACTCCGGTTTCATCCCACATTCCACAAACATGCATGGCAGGCTGATTGAACACTCAAAATTGTTCCTAGGTGTGAGTGTGAGCGCGGACGGTTGTTCATCTCTGTGTGCCTTGCAATTGACTGGCAACCGGTTCAGGGTGTCCCCCGCCTACTGCCCGGAGACGGCTGGGATAGGCACCAGAACCCCCCTCCGCGATCCTTGTGAGGATAAGCGGATCGGAAAATGGATGGAATGATGGATAATTGCAGTTATGAACTGTAATTTAGCAATGATGGAGATGATGTTAAAATAACAAGGATGGACTGATGAAGCCAGATTTGATTGGCTTGGAATAATGACGGACTGACGATGAGTGGCCTGGCTGCTGGCGAATCATGAACTGTGCAGGATGCAGCGTTCACTGCCGACTGGCTGTTTCCCACTCCACACGAAACCTATCAAGTGCTGTGGACAGACCAATGCTGGAGAGTTGTCACAGCAGGCAGAGGCTTGCTACAGTCATCTGAGCCAAAATAATCCAGTTTTTAATTGACCATTTATCGTCCGTTGGATTACGCCATAAAAAAAGGCAGATGGTGATCATCGACAAAATGCAAAATATCATCCCCGATAACATAATCTGTCCATCACGAATGTATACGGTATGTATTAACATCAAATTTTAATGGTGAAATCCATAGAAGAATAACTGATTTGATCAACAAAACACACATAAGCAATTTTTTTTCAATGCAGATAAATTCATACTGAAATTTAAAATTTTGATGCAGCAATCTATGTCAGTCACTGGTTGTAGTTTAAGTACATCATCAGGGTCTTATTTAGCTCTCAGAGTTTAATGAGTATGATAACTGGTTGTGATTAACATTGTTTTTGTTCTGTTTTAATCTCAGCTTTGTGTACTGAGGAGTGTGACCACGGTCGGTGTATCTCTCCTGACACCTGCCAATGTGAGCCTGGCTGGGGAGGGCTGGACTGCTCCAGCGGTGAGTTGTTTGCTTACAGATCTGGCATCCACTGCAATGCTGAATGAGGTCCTGAAAAACTGTATGAGGGAAGTGAAGTTTGTGTTGGATACGCTACGTGGAGCTTTATCTCGTTTTTTTGTGGATTATTGTTTTATCTTAAAAAAAAAAGTAACCTGAATGCCGAGTGGCGCGATCATTTTGTACAGACTGGCTCTCTAAGTAATTAACCCACATTAAATTCCAAGGAGGAAAAAAAAACAAAACAAAAATGTAACCCTTCAAAGAAATGACCAGCAAAATTTGACAGCATCGTTGAACTCATCAACTTCATGCGGCCAGAGCAAATATCAATTCTCACACAGAAGAAAATGTTTAATTCTGAGACATTACTTACCAGAGAACAACTTGTTGGATTCGGGGCAAATCCACACATTTGATTTGAAAAGCAAATATTTTTTGGGGCTGTGATTTTTTTTTGTCAGTTTTTCTCACAGAAGCCGAAGAGTACAAAGTGCCTTTGATGAATGGTAATCATTCTGCTGTATTTCACTGGATTATCCGTGTCATTATTTTCTCCAGAACTCTGCAACCTCTCTCACAGCCTACATTGCAACCTGTTTGTGTACAGCCGTATTGACATGTCATCAGTCACACAAACAGCACATTGTTTACCTTGCTTTATTGCTGCCTGGGGGCTTATGGAACTGAGGCATTTCTAAAACAAGGATTAGGTAAATTTGCCACCTCGTACAGGAAAGGAAAAAGTTGAAGCATCGACAGACATGCGGAGGATAGGACGGAACCACTTTCAGGAAGTTTAAAGCAAGTTCAAGGGAAACAAATGATGGTCCCGTTTTGCTGAATTCAATATAAATGCTCACTCGACATAAACAAAAAGATGTGAACATCGTACAGATATTTGTAGATCTCAGAAAAACATGAAACTCACTCTTGTATTTCTGTGATGAATTTGGAGACAAATCTATCCCCATAACAACGCACTGCTCTCTGGTATTCCTAAACAGAGCAACTCCAGTCTACAATTACTTCAAAACTGCTTCTGGGCTGACCAAGGAGAGAGAACAAAAGCACATTACGCCGCTTTTAAGATCACTGGATTGACTCCCCGTGTGTTTCAGGATCCATTTCAAGGTTCATCTGCTAGTTTTTTTGAATGTCTTAAGGGTCTTGGGCCATCATATCTATTTGATATGCTTTTGTCATATCAACTCGTGTGGGTCTTGAGGTCACCTGGCAGCTGCATTTTAATCAGCCACTTGCAGAACTCATCTGCACGTGTGTGAGAATCAAGTGTAAAAAAATCAGAGGCAGCCAAACAGCAAGTGGTTTTGTATGACAGTACTTAATCCTTTGAATTACTACAGTGGACAGTTTATCAGGTTACAGGGGGCATGAAAGGGTTGAAGCTTGCGGGCACAGATAAAAAGGCTTTCAGTCTTAAGTGACAAAACTACCGGTGCACTCTCTGTCCTGTTTAACTGCTCTGTTTGAATTTCGAGACTTGAACTTTGGTGTTTAAAAAAAAAAAAAAACACCACTGAAAAATACGTCTGCTGATAGTGTTTGTCGTAAGCGTCTTACAAAATTTGCAATTTAAAAGTCATGCAACATGTTACATGTAGCTACGGTCAGTAATCCATTAAGACATTTCGTCCCAGTATGTGCGAACAGCATTGAAATCCCCAAATGACTACAAACGTCCTACCTGTGTCATCCTCATGTCCCGGTGTTGTCATGAAAAACGGAATTAATCTTAACTGTTGTGTCCCGGCAGTGTAGAGAATATCAAACGAGACCGTTTAAAATAGATTCAAAAACAAAAACAACAACTTTCCAACGGTTGAAATGGTCCAGAAGAAGAAAAGAGAAATTCCCTTCTCCATGACGCACCGCACGACAGAGATCTGCAATTTTTTTCCAAGAGTTCAAGAAAAACGGGCTTAGATTCAGCCCATGCCTTTGGAACAGCTTGTCTTTTAAAATTGTTTATTGGTGGTTCCCCTTGTAAAACAAGGAATTTAATCACAGCGATTTGCTTCTGACGGTCATCCAATGATGACTTCATTTCTAAAGTGACTGACAAGAGTAAATTCAAACTAAATATTTTAACACTTTATATTTACATCAATATTTTAACTCACACTGTTTCGGCAACAATTTTGAAAGATAAGTTGGTTAAATTAAACAGGGCTCATTACTTTTTGACTGCTCCTGGTACATCCGAAAAATAGCGGCAGCTTGAAGTACAAACCACTGTACCAACAATGGTAAAGGGTTGGTCATCAAGTGCCCACCATCATATTTCCATGGTGAAATCACAGGTCGTTGTAGTCCTAAAATGTTTGCACTTTTCAAATGTAGCGAAGATCAGAACATGCCACGAGTCTTTCGTTGCTCCCCTTCGGGCAGTTTCTTGAGCAACATCGTCGGAGTGACAACAATGTTTTAGGGGCAAAAAATGTGTTGTGTTGAAGCATGTCGGTTTTTCTTTTTTCTTTTTTTTGGTGCAAATAGCACACAATGCTCTTTCTCTAAAAGAGTGAAGAAATCCCACACAATCAATGGCATGTTTGTCTAACGTGAACTCTGACAAGTTTACAACAGGTGGTATTCAGTCGAAAGGAGTGGTTGATTTTTTTCCACCCAAATTTACAAACAGCTAAGTACAGTTCTCGTTTGGATGGTTTTTCAACTATATCCTTGCATTTTTGTTATTTGATCTATTCTTAGGTATTCATCCCTCATAGAAAATAACACAAAGAAATGACTTTACCAATACAATGAAGTTCAAATGTAGTTGTAATTATTGGAGACTGGGAGATCGCTGCACTTGTTCGATTCAACAAGCTGGTCCCATCTTGAGGTAATCACTGCAAGGGCTTGTCTTTTAATGACGTCGACATGTCGAAGGGGGAATTGCTCAGAATAGTTGTAGATGACTACCAATTCATATTTGCAGGCCTTCTAATGTATATTAAAGTCCTGACACCCACATTTTTAATTAATAACAAAGTGTAAAAAAAATAAATACAGTAAATAAAAAGTGCTTTTGACTTTTATGTTATAAACTAGGCATGGCTCAATAACACTTTTTTATATTCGAGACCAATACTGCAGCCTCGAGGATTGGCCGATGAACCTGATTGTTTTTGTCACTCTAAAATTGGTTAATGATACATGGATGGAAATTGCTTGATACTGTCATCTAAAAACACCACGCTGACTGTACAACATCTGTTCACCTGACGAAAACACTGGCACATGGCGACCATGGAGACAACTCATCTGTGCTATGACATGCTTGATTCTAGAGTTCCCGCTGTTTGTGTCACGGACGTGGTGGTGGAGGACCCCAAAAAAATCAGGCAAGAGGGAGGAGCAGGGTGAACTTGACAAACTGTATGAACAAAATGCTGAGAAAACTACATCCAGAACAAACAAAGTCCTAGAAACAACAAGAAGCCAAAGTAACAAACAAAAACCGATGGCAGAAGCAAAACACTAACAGAAACAGAGTCAGCAACAGCAACAATGACCCAACACCAAGTGGTCGGGACCGGGAGTCCTTTTAACAGAAAACCTACTAATGACATGATGACCAACAGGTGTGCCGCTGTAGGAGGAGCCCTACAGAGCCACCTGTTGGTCCCAAACAAATCAACCGTGACCGTTTGGTTCACCTTAAATATACCAGAGTTCATTTCCCACACTGGCGGGGAACTTTTATGCATATGTGAATGCATACAAACGAATCCTGAAGTCTTGGTCTCAGTCTGCTTCCAAACGGATGGTACAGTTTGTCATTTCAACCACAAATTAATTTGGAGATGTAAACTGTCACTCAGTAAGACTGTCAATGTCTTACGCAGGATTTTTCAATACAATGTCCGTGTGTACCACCGTTGTGACGATAAATCCCAAATTACTAAGATGTTTGCGAATGTGGTTTTCAAATAATATTTCTTAAGTTAGCAGGTCTGAGTAGGGCTGAAGTTTCAACTTATTTACCTTTGACTCCAGCTACTAAAAGGGACAGATTGCCCTATGCTTTTTGTCCAGTTGCCTTTTTGTAAGCCAAATGTACTCAGTGGCAATTACCAATCCATTTTCCGAGACTAGTACACACAGTCGATTTGATAGATGATCAAGATAATTCAAGTCGAGAGAGAGGCAGACTGTTGCCTCCATGGAGTAGTATAATGGGAGCAATTATTCACTCTAAATCATAGTTGTTGAGTCTGTTTGTGGTTTTGGGGTCATTATAATGGGCTACTCCTTAATAATCTCTTGATTTCTGAAAATTGATCACCCATGTATTTACCCTTGCTGTCTCTCATCAAGGAGTTACTTAGGCCAAACAAAAAAGATTTCCGGTAACATGAAATTTCAGCATTGGGTCATTAGGTCGGACAAAGTTTTTTTTTTTCCATCAAAAATTTAAACAAAATAACCATAAAACATAAAACAAGAAGACATCGAACCCGCCACTGCCACCTATTTAGTTTTCTCCCCGCTCCGGACTCGGGGGGCCGGGGCGCGCCACCGCCTCCGCCGCCGCCCTCCTCCGCCCTCGGTTTTTACTCGGCCCGTGGTGTTCATCAAATAGTTCGCTGAATTTTTTCAATTCAACAATGGATGCGATTTTCTTAACATTACGGTGCGAGCATGTGACTGTAACACAGAAAACGCGGTTTAAACTGTCGTCGGAGATCGCGGCCGCCGCCATGTTTCAATGTTGTTGACAGACGACAGGGCAAACGACGCACGCACTCAACGTGAATATCGCGAGAGTTTGCACCGATGTAAACCCTCTACACAAAAATGTAGAGGGTTGTTTGAAAAAAATGCCGACCATAAAGTTTTTTTTCGACGTAGAAATTCTCGGTCGGTCGGGTTACCGGAAACACACTACTTTTTTTTCTACGCCTTATCTTAAGGTTTGATTTATTCTTATTTTTTTCTCTCTAGATCATGTGATCATGAATTTTAAAATTGAA